TTTAATTGTCATTTAGCTCCTTTAACTACTGTAAATCCTAGGCTGTGACAAAGGGGGAGAAGGGGTTTTGGCCACAATCTTCACATTCATTACCATCCTGACAGAACTGTTTAGAATTCCAGACAAAAATTGCTGGCGCTCTGGTGGAACAGCATCTAGAAACCAACATGAAATTCTTATGTGTCACTGCCCTCCAGAAGCTCGTGGTTTTTCATAAACTTGGGGGAGTTTTAAATCTCTCCCCCACTGCCCTTCCTCCGTGCACTGACAACGGTGTTACTAGGAAACACACACACAGACAAAATGATGTGCACACAGACACGAGGAAAGAAGGTGAGTCAGTGCAGTGGGCTCCTTCACACTGGTTCAACTCAGAGCCAGAGGAATAGAATCTGACAGCTGGAGAGGGAACAATGGCTGATGCTGCAGGCTACTGTACTGTACTGTACTGTACTGTACTCTACTGTACTGTATGTGTATATAAACACACTGTACTCATGTGGGCTTTAGTGTTTTTGAGAGGGGAGAGAGAGAAAATATGTTATAAAATGGTCTCATCCAGTTCAAAAAGCACAACAAGGTAAAGCGCACACACACACACACACACTGTTTTTTAGGTTTTGTAGTGCACAAAGACACACTGCGTTAGCTAGCCTATTACCCAACCATTAAATGTTTTTTAGGTTTTGTAGTGGACAAAGACACACTGCATTAGCTAGCCTATTACCCAACCATTAAAAATATGTCGTCGCTATGGTACTTTTGAAAAAGAAGGGAGTTATACAAGGTAGACACACAGAGAAACACTGGGAGCCTCCCACTGCTGCTGTGGAGGAGAACAGACAGAAGTGCTGTGTCACTCTCTGGGTCACTGTTACGAAGCAGGAATAAGTTGTTGAGTCACGGACACGGTGATATGATGATTCTGAAAATGGACTTTTGCGGATACAACTGCAGCGGATCTATTACCAGAATTACATTACAGCGTCCTACTATCAATAAAACACACGCATTAAAAACACAGGACACATTTCTCAAAACTAGACCATCATTGTACTTGCAAAGCATGACTATATTTATATTTGTTTATTTATTTGGGAGTTAATGTGGTTAACAAGAGAGACACCAACAAAGTAAAATAATTAAAGAAAATTATAGAAAAATATAAATAATAAATTATATTATAATATGTCAAATCTCTAAAATGATAATTATAGAAACAAAATAATAACAATGATAATTATTCATCATGATAATATATTTTTTCAGTATTAAGATTATCCATAAAATAAAATAAAAACATTTAAACAAGGACTAAAATGTTTATGTCCTTGTTGTTTTTTATTGTTTTGTTTTTTTTATTTTCATTTCTTTAATTTTGTCAATGTGTATGTCTTTTTTTGACCACTACAGTAAGTCCTTTACTTTCTCTTTTTGACCTTTTTGTCTTTGCAGCTGTACGTGCCTTTAATGTCCTTCTGTGCTTATTTTTAGTTATTAGTGTTTGTTTTAATTGTTGTTATTGTTTTATGTATTTGANNGCTGAAAGGACGAAATACAAAAAGTAGCCAATGAAAAAAAATATAAAACTCTCTTTAAATCAGTTCTGCTTAATTTTTGTTCATTGTTTGACATTTTCTACTTTTGCCTTTCCTTGCGCAGTACTAATACTCAGCCAGTATTCATCACGTGTACACATGCAGACCTGTGTATTTGCATTTGTCTTCTTAACCATCTACAATAACAATGTCAAGGACTGTGTTTTTATACTTGGATCTAAGCCTGTAAATACAGACTGAATAAAGGCTTTTTGTTGCTGTCTGATGTATCGGGTCCAGGATTACACAGATGGAAGTCTGAGGAGGTGTCAGTGGTCAAAATGTGCTGTGAAGCATCCGTGTTGACAGGGACGAAGACGGCACAGAGGAGAGACAGGATCTCTGATTGTGCTGCATCGATTTGATCTCCGGGTGTGTAGCGCTGTACGCTGTTAGCACTGTGATACAAATTGATTCTGTTCTTTCGACATCAGCCGTTTCAAAATACTTTGCACAACAATGACAGAGGTTTGAATCCAACGGAAATGAATCTGAAGAAAACACAAAGAACAGGCAGATACGGAAGAAGCAACGTGACTTTTGTCAAGGAGTGTGGGATCAGCATCCGCACTTCAGAGCTACAGCGCACACACACACACACACACACTGACATCTGATGCAGTGTCACGGAGGAGTGTGTGTCCTGTTACAGGCTGTACAAGAAGCTACAGCTTTCTCACTGTTGTCACTTCCTCTGAAATCCTCAATTGTACAACATTCAGAACCACATCGTCAGGCAGCGACATAAGGCCGTGACAGGCCAGATGCTGATGTGTCCTTGGACATACCATTTAACCCCTGGCAGCACTGACATATATGGGAGCTTAAACAGTCAAATTGTTATTTTTTTCCCATCAATTAACCCCAATCCCCCACAACTGCCGCTTTGACTTTAGTCAAAAAAAATGTCAATAAAGCAATAAAACCTCTTTAACCATTTATCTTTGATGCCCAGAGGGTCTTAAAGTGTCAGCATCCCACTGTGGAAAGGTTGAGGTCAAATCCCAACGCTCCACAGGAACTGACTCCAGCATCGAATGTGAATCTTTAATCACTCTCTGCAGCCTCCGGGTCATTTCTCACCTCCACTGCTCCTACATCACGCAATGTCACAGAGCAGGTGACGTGAAACGCACAGTTCTCTGGCCTGCTTCCATCAAAAACACAATAAAAAAAAAAGATCAGACAAAACTGACAATTTGTGAACCAAAACCTGGGAGACCAAAAAGTTATAGACTGTGTGTGATAAAAAAAACACAATTGGATAAAGAAGTGATAGTGTGTGAAAAAAAAAACACAATTGGATAAAGAAGTGTTTTTCTGGAAGCTTAATTTAAAGACTTTATAAACTCCCCGATGCTGGCTGAGCAACATCAGTCTGTGGTGATGTCTGTCCAGACCCACGTCTATGTCTCTTTGTTCTACACCCACATCTAGACCCAGAGAGGAAAGGAAGGAAGGAAGGAAGGAAGGAAGGAAGGAAGGAAGGAAGGAAGGAAGGAAGGAAGGAAGGAAGGAAGGAAAAAGAAAGAAAGAAACCTTCGACTAAATTGTAATTCCAGCTGCTACTGACTCAAGCTTGGACCGATGACTGAGAATCTATAACATTTCAGAGAGTATGGAGATCTTCATTGATTACTGTATCTAACAGCCAATCAACATCCATTACTCAATCTAGAATTGTCTTTGTTGCTGCTGTGTATTTTTCCCACATTAGAAGTTTTTTCTCTCCCTCTCGTTCTCATAGGAATGTGATCCCTGCTCTATTTCTGCTCTGCTGCCATTGGATTGCTCTCCATTCAAGTCTCATCGATCTGTCATGTGGGTTGTACTAAAAGGGGTTTGGAATCAATAACCCAATCCTGGGTCTCAGGACTCAGATACCTCACGGTGTTAAAGAGTGGGAAAGTATTTTCGTGTATCTCCCGTAGCAGAATGTCACATGGCACTAAGGATACTGCAGCACAACATACAGACATACAGTACACACTAGCAATATATAAACAACATGTAAACACAAATATCTGTTTAGAGTTTTTTCTTTTTCTCTATGCCGTCTGTGGCTATAGTAAATAAAAGTATGCCTTACAGCAGATTTTCTTTCCCTTTCAGAATATATAAGATATAACTGGTGGCTCTCTGTTTGAACTGTGTTCCCCATGAGCCTTATTGAACACAGTAATGTGTAACCCAGCAATGAATGAGGGCAGCAATAGTCCTCAACTGAGAGCAACTTCAAAACGGATCACTTAGTGAAGCTAAACGATAGAAACATGATATTTAATGAGTGGACCTACAAACTAGCTGCAGATTAAGAGGTCAGACTGTGGTGGAGCAGAGGTATCTGGTGTATATGTATATGGTTATATATATACACAGTATATACAGTATATATATATATATACAAATATACTGCATATACATAAATATATATACAAATATATACAAATACATATACATAAATATATATATAAATATATACATACATAAACAAATATATGTGTACGTATATAAACATATATGTGTGCATGTATATATGAACAAAGTCCAACCTGGAGCTTGAATTTCTGCAGCACAGACTCAACAACATCCTGTTTAATAAAAACGCCACAGATCATCTCTGATGCTGCCAATCACGGAAACAGAAACAGCCGAAGGTTAAAAGACTCAGCTCTTGTCCACAGGGAGGACACTCACCGGGGACTCAACCGAGGACGTTCACAGGACGCCCTGTCTTCTCTACCAGCCATGCTCTTATGACAGAGCTCTTAAAAAGCCAACAGACATTCTCTAAATTGATTCAGCAGATAATAACAAAGTGTCACCTGATATTTAATTAACTTTCATCACGGCCGTTCTAGTGTCTCTAGAGGAAAATCTTTAAGAGAGAAAAAAATAAAACATTCGTATGTTGCCACCATCATTTGTTCAAGGTTCAAATGTTAATGTTCTCATGTGCTGCTGCTGCTGCTTTGCACTTATTGCAGTACTGACCCACGTTTTTCAGGTTCCTTAAAACTGTGTGTGTGTGAAGCCATTACCTGGCAGGGGATGAAATAAGTATCTGTTCAGCATCTTTTGCACTTTCAGACTGGGCTTAGAGCACTCAATTACAACATCATAGATACACGCACGTGTACGTGCACACACTTCCGGCCTGCAGTTCACCATGGACATTGTACACACAGTTCAGCAGATGTGATGATGGATTATTCATGGAAATCGTTCACTTCTGTCAACCACAGAACAGTGACTTGTTTCAGATGCTTTTTTTAGAGGTAAAAATAAATTGACTCATCACTGACATCAGTCTGATTAAAGTTTGCATTTTCATTTTTTTAACCATAACAAGGCCCCGTCCATAAACTGGTCCATTGTCTTTTGGGATTAAATGACACTGACCTCTGACCTCTGAGGAGAAGTGGGCCGAGTGACGTGTGATGAAGAGCTGTAGCTGCTGATCGAGGTTGCAGCACTGAAGGTCGACGTCCCAGGATCGGATTCCTGCAACAGCAGAGGACAGAGACAGCATGAGGACAACGGCGTGAGACGCTGAAGGACACAGCTTTAACAAAGTGACCCTAATGATTCAGAGCGGCGTTTGTAGCTGGATTTGTTTTTGTTAAGCCTTAGAAAACACAGCAGTGAGAAGACGCCGGTATGTGAAGGAGGAGTTTGTGTGTTTCTGAAATTATATATAAACTGAACGCGTCAGTTTACTATTGTACACTTGTTTCTGCGTATTTGCTAAGCGACACTGAGATGCAGCTGCAGAGCTCTGACACAATGACGTTTGGTGGTCGTCGCCGTCGTTGTTCTCAGACCGAGGTGAATACCACTGACCACAACCACTGACTTGACCTATGAGAGCTAAAAGCTACAAGTGCTGAAAGTACTGCCTCAGTCTGTTTGTGAGTTGATTTTTCTGTATATTACGGTGGTAAAAACACAGTCACACAATCACAGTCATGTGCAACAATTTACCAAAAAAAAACTATGGATTTTTTGTTTTTACCTCCATCTGTTGTATAGAACAGCACCGTTGGCTGGAGGCTGCAGGGGGAGATAGACCACCAAAGTAACTAAACAATATCCTACACTCAAAAAAAATTACAGTCTGAATGAAAGCTTAGGAAAAAAACTTTCCAAAAATTACAGTCTGAATGAAAGCTTAAGAGAAACTATGATGTGAGCTCTTAAAAATTTGGGGAATTATTAATAATTATAATCAACACAAAGTATTTTTGGTCTGGACTCCACTCCTCATCGTTACGATCTCCCGCCCTGCAGCTTACATCAACCCAGGGACAGGTCACTCCCAGTGGGTTGAACCTGAAGCCCCCACCTGTGTGACAGAATCAATGCTGTAATGAAGTGAGTGGCAGTAACACGGAGCTGTGAGTCCTCAGACAGCAGCACAGTCAGAGGAGATTAAACTGCCATAACACTGCAGCAACGGCTGAAGGCGTGACTGATCATCTGGACATTGTAGCGACAGTAGGACCGTTCAGAAAAGTGCTGACGCTCAGACGAGTAAATCCACACACTGCATCATCTTCTGTAGCTGCCGTGCAATCCCTTTACATCCTTAAACTTCAGACAGCTCCTTCTCTGCCGTGGCTCAGGAGAGTCCCGTGGAGGAGGAGGTGGGGGGGAGAAATGACTTAAATCAGGGACTGGAGGAAAATGCCTGTAACTGAATATAAAAGTCAGGCAGGAAACACAAAATGATGACTTTTTTTTGTTGGCAAAGACCCAGACATCACAACTCTGCAACACAACACAGACTGTTGGCCTCAGCTGTTAACTGAGTGCTGCTAAGACTCTGCTATAGTTTCAGAAAATCCAACCACAACAGTAACGCTGAAACAAACACTGACACTGGCCTGACTGCAACTTCAGCCCATTCTCTAACCATGGAGTTGGGACAAAATTGTTAAAAATTATACAAATACTGCAGATATTGTCTTTTTATTATTTAATTTTCCAGCAGATGTCACAGATTTGTTTCCATTGTTCAACACAGTGGAAGAGTGGTTGGTGAAATTGCCTTACAGCTAGAAGATCACTGGTTAGATCTCTGGTGATAATGGATGGTTGGAGATTGCTTGTATTTGTTGTATTTTCTACTTTACAACATTGGGTTTTCAAATGTTGACGTGTTTAATGTAGAATCAACTACCCCTAGAGGTCCAGAGAAGTACTGCCGGGTTGGTTCGTGAATTCTTTGCATAATTAGTTATTAAAATAAAAACTGCAGTATCTTTGAAAAGCTTGACACTGAATGCAAACTCTCCCAATAAAATAACATGTAACATGACATTACGTTAGAGTTTAATATTTAAAAAAGAACTTTATACAGTATACTGTGTATAGTAGAGGGGCGTGCTCCAGTCACAGTAATGGTAAAGTCCAAAATTCCACACAAACAGCCTCAACGATTCAATTTCACACTTATCATAACAAACTGTAATGTAAATTTACTTTTTTTTAAAACAGCTGTTTTTACGGTGTTTTCTTTATATTTCCCACAGCCACACACAGTAACCACAACACCTCAGAGAGTGAGAGAGAAAGATAGATGCGTGTCCCATGGTGCAATGCTGCAGCAGCCACCTCCACCTATGGATGCTCGTTGCGTCAAAACAGGTCTGTGGTGTTTCCAGATTTAAACCGTGCGTGTGGTGTAATGGCAGAGCTACATGTTGACAGTCGTCAGAGCAGCAGTGCAGCAGACTCACCTCTCTCTATGTGAGCTCTGACAGCCTCCAGCTGATGTTCGCTGCTGATCTCCCCGATCACTATCAGCATGTAGCAGCAGCCTCGGTTGAACGGCAGCCCTCGCCTCCGCCTCCCTGCGCCTCGTCGGTGCTGGAGTCTGTCCTCGGACCCCGGACCCCGCAGCAGGCAGCTGAAACCCTCGTCCTCCTCCAGCACAGGTAGAGCCCCCCGCACCGCCATCTCCATGGCAACAACCCCCGCAGCTGACGCCGCGGCTGACTCCATCGCCATGACAACCAGCGGTGCGGGATGGAGGAGAGGAGAGTTATGAGAGCAGAAGGGGGAGAACCGGGGAGAGGAGGTGACGACAGGCGATCACAAGGTGTCAGAGAATACATAGATGGTACTTCCGTTAGATATTTCAAATTAAGAGCCGACTTCGTTTTGTTTTGTTTTTTACAATAAATCACACTGGTTTAAAAGACGTGTGAGTGGTAGTGATGTAGAAGTAGCAACTAATGCAACAACGCAAAATTCTATCCTGCTGTAATAACCTGAATGTCTTATAAACAATGTATACATCATACAGGGCTTTCGAACGTTGTTTCTAGCGACCCCTGCAGGTGCTTGAAGAAAATCTGGCGTTTTTAAAGACACGCTTGATTACATGTCTGGTACAAAAAAGGTCTTACCACCACTAGGTTGCCCAACGCCGATTTGGACTACACCTGCATTACACTTCACCACTTTGCTGTACTCTAATTGTAAAGATCATATTTCCTGAAACTACGTGTGTGAGACATTCACAAGCCATTGCATATTTTCTACGTGTTTAAGTTTGTCAGGAGTGATTAGTGTTTCTTCTCAGAACTATTTATCCAAGTTAAATCTTCTGTACTTAAGTTTGCATACTAAGAACAGGCTTATATGAACACACAAAAAACAATTTCAGATCCAAGAGGAAACACACGTAAATTCCCTATAATTGTGTTAATTTACTCATCTGTTAATTGGATAGTATTTGTTCAATGTTTGTGATTGTTCTTCATCAGTCCATTCTTCTGACTTTATTTCTTGCAGCCGGATTATCCTGAAAAATGTGTAGGAAAATTAAACGTCAGAAAAAATATAATACGAACAAATATAAATGTCAAATTTACACTGATAAGACAGACACTTAAAACTAAGGGTTAACACACAAGTAGAAATAAAATAAAATCAACAACATAAAAAGGGTGCTGTTGTGACAGTGACTCAGCAGTTCCTTCCTGACAGCACCTGTACCACTGCCATGCTGCCCTCTAGTGGTAATAAACCGGACTCTCACCTCGCTGTAAGTCAGCAGAGAACGTCAGCTGCAATGAACTGCATCTATTCTCAAGGATAAAAGAAAAGAAAAAAGAAATTGAGAATTGTGACCAAAATGTAGACTTTGATTCTCGTCCCTATTTTTTTTTATCCTCTCACAACAACTAAACTTTGACATAAATCCTGCATCAACCAATTACAAAAGCACGAAGTTGCAGGTGTAGATTGAGTTTCAAGTGTTGTATTCTTGAACCGTATTGCTTCACTTTGAGGATCCAGTCTGAGCTGGTAGTAACTTTGGGTAAACAAATAATACATTTGCAAAGCAAATATTGTAAAAGTACAAGGCTAACATTACCAAAAAGAAAAAGAATGAGCCAAACTGAATAGGTTCTAAACAATTTTCAAGAAATTAACTGAACTAATGTTGATGAGGAAAATGAACTTTCTGGTCATTTGAGACACAGATCACAGCCCAGCTGTTGGATTATTACGGCACTAAACACACTTGTGGTAGTGAGAGAGTTAAACAGCTGAGTAATTACTTTAAAAAATGTAACTTATTAATATCTAATATCACTGTAGCGGTCGAACCTGTTTGATCCTGGTTTTTATCACGTCTGTTCTTGAATAAAAGCCACTGAGCCTGGAGACAAACACAGAACAACTGACAAAATAACAGGAATTAAGACACACTTCGGTTTTCACTGCAGGTTCACTGACTGTCAAGGTGACACTGACTGTAAGGTGACATAGGGATCATTTACTCTTGCTTCTCAGTTTGGGTTTAATCTTCTTAGTCATTCTGTAAATAGACACAGTGGACAAAAACTGACACTGAGGTATTAGACTTCAGACGCAGAGGTGTAAACACTACCGACAACAGAGTGTAAATACTAACAAAAGCAAAATGTTACATTCGTATCAGCTCTGAGAACCGAAAGAGCACCCAGAGGAAAAACAAAGGACACAGTAGTAGAACATGCAACGTCAGTAGATAGGCCATCTGTCCAAGCCAGGACTCAAACATGTGACTTTTATTTACAACATAAAATAAATGACCTACTTCCTGTTACTAAGCTGCAATGCAAAACACTGAGCTTTTTGCTGCATCATGGCTTGGGTGTGAACCAGTTTTGCTTCAGGATGGTACTGATGACTTTTTGCTTTCTCCAACTCTAGATCAAATAGTCACCTTCTTGCTGTGTACCTGATGGGATGTGAACCTATGACTCTTTTTTTCCTGTCTAGATGATACTTGATGGCTACTTCATGGTATTCAAAAAACCAAACAAACCACTGACCTTGCTGAATCTGTGCTGGATGGTGAACTAGTGACCTTCTGCTTTGTCAGATGTGGGATGAAAACTATTGACCTTCCTGTTGTTTCTGAACAGACACATGGAGCCGACGATCTTACTGTGTCTGAACAGGTAAAGCAAAGCAATGAAAAACTTGTTCTATTACAGCTGATACAAACCACCTTCATGTTGTGTAATCCGTGGGACATGAACCCACGACCTTCTTACTGTATAACAATCAGGGCACTAACCAACCTTTTGCTGTACTGAAGACAAAAACATCATTTTTGATGATACCGTCCCTGATCCAGCGTGCAAGCCAGGATGTTCCTGCTGTGTTTGACCCGGGACACAAACTAGTGACCTTCCTGCTGCAAACACAAAGCAAAATGTTAGGTTAAAATTAATTTAATGTGTAACAACTGCTTAACACAAGTCACAACAACAAATAGACCCTAACTGTGTTTCAATGGCAGAGAAACAATAATGGATTTAAATCAAAGCAAAGCATTTTTTTTATTAGATGCAATTTAAAGTTGAAATACAAAAGGCACTCCTATCTCTTCTCCTCACACAATGTGGACAGCGATGTGTGAATTAATACATTTGCTTTATCCCATTTAAACAGACACAGGTTCAAGCTTGGTCTGCCGAAAGAACATCATTGTGTGAGCGTGCAGTTATTCTGCAGGGACATAGCATACTATATCAAAACCCTTGTCTTAAAACATTACATCACATAAAATACACTTCTGATATGAGCAATCATAGGAAATATACATCGGTACTCAAATAATTTAGAGGTGGTGTGTTTGTGTTTGAAGTAATGAAATAAGAACAGAAGAAAATGTGATATTTTAACTCAGTCTCTTTAGTAGCAGTGAAACACTCTAGTAACACAAGTGTGTTAGGAAACACGGATCAGATGCACTTCAGACCCATCTGGGAAATGATTCCTGGTTCATCGGATATTTTTAACCTGAAGAGGTTCCTCCTTCATATGCAAATGTATCACTAAATTTAATAGAGGACTCAGACTGCATCCTCTTGGCCAATCAAAACCAACTGAAGAGACCAGTGCTCCATGTAGCTGAAAATGAACAGCTTTCCTCTGGGACGTCTGATTAGAAAACATCATGTGACGATCACAGACCTGAGGCCCATGGACTGTGATTGTCACATGATGGCAGCAAAGTGGAAGTCTGAAATTTTACTTCAAGATCTTGGTTTACCTTCAAAGGTCAATTTTCATGTGGTCTGCAGCCTCTTTTATCAAAAGATTCTCATCGACTCCAACAACGATGACATAGTGACTTCCCGCATTATAATTAAAGATGACAAAATACATTTACAACCAAATTCCTAGGAGGAAGGATTCCAGTAATGTCCTTATATTCTTCCATATTTAAAGACCTGTCAAATATATTTACAGTATGCTATCATCCAAACGTTTAAGACCACACAGATCATTTCTGCTGTTTTCTTCAAACACAGACACACAAATATATCAAAAGAAATGCTTTTTAAGACCAAAAAAAAGAAAAAAAAAGCCAATCAAAAACAAACATGAAAATGTCTTTTCTTGTATTACACCATCAGTGTGGACAATCCTGCACACTGCACCCTTATCAATACACAGTCTGGTATGTGACCAGCATGACAGTGCCCCCACACAAGCAGGTATCACACTGCAGAGTGTGGGAAAAAAAAAATATATATATATATGCGCACAAAATACACAAAGCCAGGACAAACAGGGACAGCAACCTCCCTCATGCTTTCCAGCCCGTTTAATGTGTGACTTTGCTAATTGACTGCTTTTTACTCTCACTAAAACTGAGCTGGAAAACGTCAGTCTGCAGCAGCCGCACCAGGCATGAAGAGCAAAGGTGACAGAGAGAATCACTGCGGTGACAGCGAGGGTCAAAAGTTAATGTAGCTCCATGTAACTCAAGGTCCATACATAACGAAACAAACACAAATGTCCAGTCGTTGGTGAATTTATGCTCAGAGAACCACCAATTACCAGGACCAATCACTAACAGCTTGATGGTTCTCACTGACTGGAAACCACTTTGGTCAATCCTTTACATGTGATAACCTTGGTCTGCTACATGGAGCTGACTTAGATCCATCTACCATCAGTTGTTTTGCTGGAAGGCTCCCTGTGCAGCAGAGGAAGCTGCACCAGCAGCAGCTGTTTGGAAGGTCTTATTGGTGAAGACACCCTGTGAGAACTCCTGCTGCGCTTTATGGAAACTGGCTCCAGTCCGGCGATACATGCTGTGGACCTGAGAGGAGAATTCTTGAGATCAGGGGTTATTTATTCATGGCATCACACTCGGTGACCCAATTGTTTCTTATTTTTAAATGTATTGTATATCTTGCATAAATCATTGTGTATTAGAGCAACGATATATGGATGGACACAGGAATTATTAGATATAGTGTGCATGGCATTTTGCCTACAATAAGAATTAAAATATTTAATTTCACAAATTAAAAAATGTTATTAATAAGTTCAATAGCCTTAAAATAAATATAAATTGTATCAAGTACAACAGTACAGGGACACGGCTTAAATGATGCATTTTAAGAAATCCATTTAGCCTAATGTTGGGTTTCAGCTCGCACGGTACGGTTTCATTTCAGTAAAGTACTGTTCTGTGAGAAGAGTGTAATTCTCAAGTCATTTTGGTCAAACTATTAACATCCAACTGAGATGTTCCTAGAGCCTAAACCGGCATTAAAACAAATAAAGTCATAGAGAGATTCTCACCATTTTAAGTAAGATGACCGACACCACAGCACACATGGTGAAGAGAATGGCCACTGCGATCATGATGGCGCCCACTGCCTTGTTTGAAGACAAGGCAGTGAAGGCAGTGATCCAACCACTGGAGTGGACAAATAAAAGTTAATTTTGGAAAAACATAAACATACATTACATTACATTTACAGCTTCTGTAATGGTACAGAATCAGCAGTTAACGTGAATCTGACATGTAAGATTTCAAACATAAAGAGATTGAGGATGAAGGCTGTGACATAAACAACATGGTTGTGACATCGTAATGGAGACGTTCCCTGGTCCGTGAGAGAAAACATCAAGGCTGCTGGGCAATAGGAGTGTGACAATAGATGCAGACTGAAAAGAAACATCTTTTGTTTGAGTAATTCTCAGCAAATACTGAACATGACGTGACATGAATACAGACAGAAATAGAGATGACTAAATGACTAAGTTTTTAAAAAAAAAAGTGTCTTTAGAATTACAGTCAAAGAGTCTCAGCAGCATTTAGATTTACAATCACTCATTCATTCATTTACAATAACAACTATAACCTAGCTAAGATTTTCAGATCAAATTCAACCAACCACAGACGTGTGAGAACATGTGGAATGTTACACCTCTTGTGTATCGCTATACAAACACAAACATGAAGAAACAAAAGGAGAAGAGAGTCAATGTTGACAGAAGGAGACAAAGACAGAACGGAGCCAGAACTTACAGAGCGGTCAGCAGAAAGAGAAGCAGTCGGGTTACAGGCTGAGAGACGAAAAGCTGCGGGTACAGGAGGAAGATGGAGAGGTGAGGAAGATGAGAAAACGCAATGAAGAGGAGAGAGCGGCGCAGCTAATGAACTGTGGGACTGCTGGAGATTCAGACAACAGAGGCAGAGAACAAGGAGAACAGAGAGTTGAATATGTCACAGACTAGAGACTACTTCAGTCCTCAAAGGTTGTTACTAAGAGGAGGAGTTTGGCACTCCTTCATGTTTAAAATGGCTGAAAAATAGAACAAAAGACATACAACTTGTGAAAACTAAATACTGTGATGCCTCACCTATTTCCCCAGTGGGGGATTCCTACAGCCTGGATGATGAAGATAGCAACTTGGCAGAAAAACACAAAGAAGAAGAAAAAAAAGCTGAAAGAGCTGTCGGTCCTGAAAGAAAAACAAAACAAAACCAGATATCACATTTGATGAACTTTTCAATGGGATTACTGCAAACTCATAATTTAATCTGTAACCTTTTAAAATCAAAAATCAGCCCGTGTTCTAACAGTTAATACATGATGTAAAACCGTTAGGCTACATAGATTAATGTTACAGTTCAACAAGTGCTCCGTCTTATTCCACGTCACTGTACAGGTGGTGCCCTCTTGTGGAAATGAATCATATAAGTTACTTGACAATATAAGTTACAGGACCTGCCAAACTACTAGCACCTACAGTCCAGACACGGACATATCTGTTAATTACATTGTGTACATTTTAGGTCCTATTTTGTAGTATGACACAGAGTACTATATGACAGAACTGTATTAAAATAAATAATATAAAATATTTTTTATAAGGAATGATTCACATCAAGGATCATTAAATGACACACAGCTTATCACAAGACAACAAAATTAAACTGTAAAAAAATATCAGTACACAGGAGTGATGGAGACGGTGTTATTTTATACTGGAGAGCATTTGCTTTAGGAGCTGCATCAAATACACACAGCAAACTGACTCACTTAAAGGCCTTGTAGATGGGTCGGTACCAGCACAGGAAGGAGCACGGAGTGAAGAGAATCATCCAAAGAATGGAGAGGCCAAAGTCCACACCCGCGTTTGTGTTGTTGGTGAAGAAAGCCAGACAAGCCAGCAGATTGAGAAACAGAGTCAAACAGTTGACTGAGGAGAGAGAGGAGAGAGTTGTGTGTCAGTTAAAACACAAACTTCACTTTGTGTCAACTAAGGTTCCCACACTGAAAGCAACATTCAAACCAACACAGAGGTGTTGATAACAGATGCTCATGTCAAAAAACAAACAAACAAAGTCCTTTGTGAAGGTGTTAATGTTTGTGTAATAAAAACCAAATTTTATTTTTCAAGGAAAAAAAAAAAACAGAGACAAATGCACATGTTTATCATATACTGCCAAATATAATGAACATATACTCACACATCCAGAGATAATACATCATCTTGCAAACTCGCTGATACTCTGGAGGGATGTCCTCAGAGAAATCCTGATAAAAACATGGTTTGATGGGAAACCTTTTAGGAAGTGGAGGCCAGTTGTTGGCTTTACCTGTCAGCACAGAGAAGATAAAGTCAGCACATGTAACAAAGACATTCATGTTTTTGAAATGTGGAAAAGTCAGCACTATGAGTGCAGTATGACAGTATGAAAGCTTGTGTGTTGTTTTAGGTAACCTAATGGTTTTTTTATTATTGTAAATCACACCATCTTATAGCGTTTAAGCTGATAGTTCTGAATCTTATCTCTACAAAAATGTCACAAGAGATTTATTAATGTCCCAACCAACAGTGTGGACAATTTTACTGTGAATATATGTTTTATGTCCCAACAGTATGGACAATTTTACTGTGAATATATGTTTTTAATGACCTGTCGGGCCTCTGCTCTGGAGCTCCTGCTCTCTCCGGTCCAGCTCAGCAGCTTTCCTCTCCAGCTCCTCCTGCTGTCTCAGCAGATTGGCCTGAGCTGCAGCAGCCGTCGCCTGGATGAAAGAGTCACAAACACTTAAGTTGAAAAAGAAAAAGAAAACAGTGACTATATCATTTTAAAAAAATGTAGGAAAGAAAAAAAGTTCCAGAACTATAAATGTATATCAGTGGGAGGAGCAGTGTATAATAATGTAAATGTTTACTTTATTACATTTACCCATTGGTAAACTCAGAACACTGTTCTCTGTCATTGTGTGTAATATTTGACTAGAAGGGAAGAACAAAAACAGGGCAGAAATGGTATTCAATATTTTCAATGCAACAGGTGTGTAGTTTTGTTTGGTGACGGACCTGTGGACTGGGCTCTGTAGATGGCTGTAACACAGCAGGCTGGTACGGAGTGGTGGAGGCTGGGGTTGTGTGTGTAGCAAGACCACCCTGAAAATAAATAAGAATCCAACAGTTAAAAGTAATTGTGAGAACAGTGTTCAAGACAAGAACTCAAAGACGACTAAATAAAAATGAGAAGGGAGAGCGAAATGAAAGTTGAAAAAGGAAACAGTAGGATAGAAGGAACGAGTAAGAGAGAAGAGGAAATAAATATTTTAGAGGATCTGAGCAGAACATGCAGGTCAAAGAGCAAAAAGGGAGATGACAAACAGGAAACCACGAGAAGAAACGGTAGGAGGAAGAATGTGAAAGATGAGGTGAGACTTTCAAAGAGTGGAATGAGGCTAAAACAATAATAATGTTAAGAAACAGGCTTCAAATGTCTTACGGTGCCATCTTCAGGAAAAGGGCTGTACTGGTCGACTGACTCCATGTTGGAGTTGGTCACTTGTGTAACTGAAGGATCCTGAAATGTAAGCATGTGATCAGTTACACGCTGGAGCTGCACAAACGCACACTAACAAACAAACAATGAAAGTAAAAGAAAAAGGGTAGAAGAGACAATTCTGACACTTTTTATAACATTAGAGTTCCCCTTGTGTATGAATCCCTACTTTAATCGACAAAGGAATTCAAATGAAACCCAAACTTCTTCATATAAACCAGAAAGACATTATCTCTATGGAAAAATAAATAAATAAACACTCT